GATTCATATTCTTGGTTCTTTCGGTAAAGTCACGATGATTGCTTGTGTTGCAGTCGAAACGTCGTAAGAATTGTTATTGTTTAATCTTTTTATTATTTTATTATTTCCCTTCTACGTGACTTTACCGAAAAAACCAAGAATATAGGTTATACTTAATACTGGTAGGAACGAAGTGGACCAGACCACCAATAGATTAATGTGTCCGTCCGTCCGTCCGTCCGTCCGTCCGTGGGAGGGGTGGTGTTGAGGGTGGTGTTGGAAATGAAAGACTACGAGTCTTTAAATCTCACAGCGTTTCTTGTCAAAACAAACACTTTCAATTAACGTTACACTAGAATACAGTAATTTTTTCTTTAACTCCTCTATACCCGGTCGATATCTCTGTACCGGTACTAAGTATTATTCCTACCAGCCCACCCCGCAGGGTCCTGTTTTGCACCCGTTATCTCTCATCCACCATAATCGTTCAATGATGACAATGCCTGGGGCAGAAAGTCCGAGTTGGTTTTGTTTTGTGTGTCGTTAAGGACTCGTATTGGGAGAAGTGTGCCTTCGCGCTCACTGGAATTTGTCAATATGCCCCTGGGTGTTCAGTTGAGCGTCGTTTAGCCTTGCTCGGTGTCTACGCGCAATCACCTGAGTCTCTTGTCATCGCAGCCGTGGACGACAATCAATTGGCGGAGGAACACTCTTAGGTTTTTTCGGTAAAGTCACGTAGGTAAAAAAAAATCACGACGTTTCGGAGGCAACACAAGTCTCCGTCTTCAGGTGGGACCGTCAAAGCTAAATTTACTTGATACAGTTTTCATTTTATTTTATAATTTTTTTCCTACGTGACTTTACCGAAAAAAATTCTAAGAGTATGAATCCCTGCAGTCACGAAAGCTTCAAATATAGAATTGGCAGATTAACATTGCGTGCAAATGCTGGAATCAAAATATTGCCAAAGAGTGACATTTATTTACCCAACAAAGCCTCACTGAGTCTCAAGACTATTTCAGTTTTTCAGGAGATTGCTGCTACATTGAGAAATCTGACCACGAATTTCTTATAACGATTGTTTTGCTCTTGGGTGGGAGGTAAAAGGGCACCCAGAGAAGAGGGTGACACTCAGCACTGCCATCTATAAACAACAATTTTTTGTTACTATTTTTTATTTTACCAGGAAAAGCCATTTTTAAAAAAGCGGCTTGGCCACAAGTGACAGCCCAGCGAAGTGGCTTATCATGTGGACATTATAGCAACCAAATACTCAAAACGCACGTTGATTCTAAATGTGGAGGGAAAAACCGGAGGACCCGGAGAAAAATCCACGCGACCACAGGGAGAGAGACACACACAAAGTCCAAATATACAGGCATCATTCAGGTTGGGATCGAACCCATGACCTCCTGTATACCAGGTGAGGTTGTTAAGAGGAGTTCTATTGCACTATAATTATATCACATCTACGCATCTACCGCTTACTTCCTTTGCGCTCCTGTGTATTTAAAGGTTCCGTCTTCAGTGTCGCCAGAATGCCACCTTTTTCTTGTTAAATGGAGAAAAGCACGGAGCCAAAAATACCATGATCTTTGTCCACAATGATGCATGCGTCTCTTAGCCAAAACGCGAATCTTTTTCGCAGTTGTGCTCTACAGCCGACCACGTGCTGTGAGCGTCTTCGCCAACTGAAATATATGTTGACAGTGTCCAGACAACAATGAGACCCACAGGATCAGATATGCCCCGAATCTCAATGCACGTTGAGCGAGCGCCATCGGAAGCGATTTCGGACGCCTTTTCCTCGCATTGCTATAAATTAATCAACCGTCGTACGCTTTTGGAGGGGCCACTGGAGGCTGTGCCACTAATTGACTGGCAAGGGCTCTGCGAACGTCATTAAGTTCTTCAGTGGCAGCTGTCAGTGCTCTCTAGGACTTGGCCTCATTTCTGATTGGGTACAATTTGTCGGTTGAAAATGTGTCAAGGTGAGTGGCACGTTGCAATTTTAACTCGGCGGCCTCAGTTCGACGCTGATGTAATTGCGGGACCGTGAGTCATGAGCACTGCTAGAAATGCTTCAGCAAGGTCTGCTGACCAGCGTTACTGCAGTGAGCCGCTCACATGGTTTAGGGCGAGATTTAGGGCCACTCTTGCAAACGAGCCCATTTATGTATGTTGAACTTCTTTCGCACCGTACGTAGCCGACCGCGCTAACCGGAGGTGCGGGGGTAAGGACAACAAACTAAACACAAAAAGCAGTTCTAAAGAAATTCGTTTTCAATTTGTATTTAAAAGTACATCGCTCCAGTGACTTCCTACTATCGGAAGAGCGTTCCAGACGGCCGCAGAAGCGCATTGGAAAGCGCGCGATGCGGTGGCGATCTTTGTTCGAGGGCGAGCCAAAAACATTTTCAGACTACATTCACACTTTAGATTTGAAGTTTTCGTGACTGCAAGGATTCATACCCTTTGTTTTTTTCGGTAAAGTCACGTAGGTAAAAAAATTTAATAAATGTAATCACGACATTTCAGGGGCAACACAGAAGACTGAAGAAGGAAGCTTGTGTTGCCTCCGAAACGTCGTGATTAAATTTATTTACATTTTTTTACCTACGTGACTTTACCGAAAAAACCAAAGAGTATACATTCACGCTTAAAGCGCTAAGAATATCGTGTAATATTCGTAACGCACATTGAGGACGCGTTGTGATGTAAAATGTACCAACGTTGAAATTTGAGACAATGCAAAAAAAACCTTGGTCCAACATCGCCCCCTGCTGTGCACTCAGGGAATAATGCACCGATTGGAAAATGTGGTACCAAAGCGACCCCTTCTGTCCATTGCCTGCACCTGCAGTAGCAACGTCCTGACAAGCAGAGGACGCAACCGGGTACCCGATACCCGTACCCTACCCGATACCCGTTTGCGACTCTGGTGCGGCCGGGTACGGGTAGGCCGTGAGTCACTGGTGAGTAACTGTTCGTCACTCATTTCCCAACGTCTTGTCTCTCCTCACAATTCAAGTTCCTAGAATCAACCCACCCGCGCCTGTAACATGACTTCATCCCAGAGGTCGCAATCAGGTACCCGATACCCGTACCCGGCCGGGTACGGGTAGGGTACGGCCGGTTACGGGTACCCGTTTGCGACCCTGGTGCGGCCGGGTACGGGTAAGGAATCAAAACCCGTTTGCGACCTCTGCTGACAAGACACAAAATGTGAAAACAGCCCCATTGTGCTGTCCACTCCCCAATGGTTTCAAATGTGTGGCGGTCCTCGCAATGTGATGTCTTATCATTGGAGTATGACAGGTGAGGCTCTGCCTCTCCTGACCGCAAGTCCCTGAAACAGACCCACCACTCACGAGGCGAGCCGTCATGGTGACAATGTTGTCAACGGCCAAGATCTACCCACTGCTGGATAGAAGGCTTCTTCGTTGACCTCGGTGGTGATGGAGCATTCGCGCCGCATCTGCACGCGAACCGCGTCGCCGTTAAGGGACCGTCTTCTTCGTTGGTTCTTTCGGTAAAGTCACGTATAAAGATAAAATAAAAAAATAAATATTTTATTTATTATTTTATCTTAAAGTCGCGTATAAACGAAAAATAAAAAGTTAAATATTTATTTTATTATTTTATTTTAAAGTCACGTATAAAGGAAAAATAATAAATTTAATATTTAATTTTTTTTAAAGTCACGTATAAAGAAAAAATAATAAATTAAATATTTTATTTCTTATTTTATCTTAAAGTCACGTATAAAGATAAAATAATAAATTAAATATTTTATTTATTATTTTTTCTTTATACGTGACTTTACCGAAAGAACCAAAGAATAATTCCTGCAGTCACGAAAGCTCCAAAATTAAGATTGGACCGTCTTCTATTCGAAAGTTGCCTCCAGGATGGTCCAGATGTCTCGTGACCCCCCATTTAAATCCATAAAACTTCACATTTCTTTAAAGGTTTGTTTAAAATAGGAACGTGGAAAAATTGTGAGGGGGGTCACTTAATTTGAGGGGGGGGGGGGGGGGGAGGGCACAAGACATTTGGACCACTATTTACATTGGCTGTATCCTCCTTAGCCTCGACCAGTCATCAATCCTGGTGACATGGCCTGTCCAAGGCCACTTATTTCTCTAAAACGCTTTCATTTCACTCACTCTGTCTGTTGTTGTTGTACCCTCAAATCTTGTAACTTAATTTAAACCCACTTCCCAATGTGGTATCGACTGAAAACTTGGTATACTTATGTCATACTGATGACAATACTACATTCAATCATAAAAAAAAAAAATTCACATTCTTTTTTAGATGTTATGTTTCGGCTTGGGTCTAATTGTCCACGGTCAACTGACGTTGGCTGTAATTGCCCACGGTCGCTTACGTTACGGCAAGCTTCGGGGCCACTTCCTGAAGTCGTGGACTTCTTCCATTACTAATACGGTACATTTAATTAAAGGGTTTTTTTTTAAATAAAGTTTTTTTTATTTAATGGGGGGGGGGGGGGGGGGGGGTCACAAGATATCTTGACCACCATTTCCATTGGCTTCATCCCAGAGGTCGCAACCGGGAACCCGATACCCGTACCCTACCCGATAACTGGCTACCCGTACCCGGCTGGGTACGGGTACCCGTTTGCGACCCTGGTGCGGCCGGGTACGGGTAAGGAATCAAAACCCGTTTGCGACCTCTGCTTCATCCCCCATATTTCGTCTCGACCACGGAGACATCCGCTCTGGCGACATGCCCTGCCCCAAGGTCCCAAACTTCCATACAAAGGGGTTTTTGGGTGACATCGCGTAAATATAAAAGTCGTTCAATACCGCCAACAACAAATCAGCAAGCTCTGTAACGTAAACAAAACGTGGTGATTCGCTTGTAGGACCTCAGAACAACGGTGTGCTGGAGAGTAAACCAACATTGGCCGATGTTACTTATTTAGAACGCCGTCTGGCACGTAAGTTTTTGAATACACGTGTAGTGTCTTGTAAAATCAGACGGGACACGTTGCAACAGGTCACCTTCTTACACTTTATTAAAAATATTCTTGCAGCAGCTGTAGGCACTCCTAGAACTATCTTACACGGTCACTTAGGGGCCGTCCATAAATGACGTCACACACCTGGGGAGGGGGTCAAGACATTTGTGACGGTGGGGGGGAGGGTTTGAGAAATGTGACGTCACATCAAAATGCTCAACTTTAAATAAACAGAATTGTTATAACACTAATTTTCATGATTAACTATTTGATTATTTAAATTTACTAAGGGCACCTTTTATTTATTTAATGAAGGATCATTTTGCTTTTTCATGGGAGAGTGGAGAAGCATAAATTTAGGGGAAAAAATGATTGTTATTAAACATTTTGATTCTAATGATTCTACCAGGGCTTTTACTTGTGAAATGAATGCGATTTTTATAATTGCACTCTACACTTTGCTTCGTTCTACTACAAAGTTTATAGTATTTTCTTATAGTTATAATTATTTTAAATCTTTTATAATTAAGAGAATTTCTATTTAATATTCTAAACATCTGTAGCTTTAATTAAGACGTTGAATATTTTCAAGTGTATTTTATGAAAAATTTCAGCTTTCCAACACCTTTCTAATGTTTTCTTACATCAGTGTAGCCCCACATTAAATACACACGACAATAGTTTAAAGTGCTTCGAAGCATGTTCTATTTTCAAAATAGAAATATGGTTTTTGGGGGGGGGGGGCGGAGCTTTGTGACGTCATATCTGAGGGGGGGGTCTGACTTTGTGACGCCGTGAGGTCAGATATTGGCCAAAATCGCGTGACGTCATTTATGGACGACCCCTTAGATCCAAGTTCCACTTCACCTATCCTGAACCTCAGCAGCTCTGCTCCCAGCGTCTTCTCAGAGGCTTGCAGTGCCTCGGCAGCTTCTCACACTCCACCACTACCCTTGCCTACCCCCATCAGACCCATTGACTCGTCTGCGCCGGGCATGAGATGCGAGATCACCCATCACCCAGCCGTGACTCGTGATGGTTGAGCTCCGTCGACGGCTTGAGCAGCAGTGGCGAGATGTCTTCACTCTCATCCCCAGCAAGAACTCGCTCAGCTCCCGCACGTGTCCCGACATCCTCCTGCCAATTATCGGAGAGTTCTCGTGTCTCTTTAAGGCTAGCGCCTTTCAGATCATTAATAAGCCCTTATCGCCCGTCTCCCTGGCAAACACCTCCTGTGTCAGAGTGCACAACCACTGGAGCCGGTTTGCACCCACTTAGGCGGAGATTTGTGCCTACAATTATTTTATTTTTTTATGAATTGTAATTTTTTTACCTACGTGACTTCACCGACAAGTATGAATCCTTGCAGTCACGAAAGCTTCAAATCTAGAATTGTTCGTACAACCCCATGCGGCACACACACACACCCTCGGATAAGTGTGCACACCGCGTATTTAACTCTACACACGCAGGCATGTATGCCTCTCGGTACAATTGCAAGCTTGCATTTGTCTAAAACGCACCCAAACTGAACTTGTAGTCCCATCCAATCTCAGTTTAATACGTAGAATTTCGCGAACAATACTATTCATAAAGGTTCTTGGGTTCGATCGCGTTTTCTAAATGTCGCAATCGTCCACCACCCGAAACGGCCAATTGGTAAAAAAAAGTGTCACATTGACAAAAAGTTCACTACCTTAGCCCACCGGTGTGTTGAAGAGTGAATCCACGTTCACAATTTTAGTGCGACGTTTCGCTGGTAATTACATCCATCATCATCGGGCAATTTGCCAGAATAGTGAAGCCCTCCACTTGCTCCCGGTCCTACAACCATCTCACCAAGCCACCAATTTTTTAACTGCAGTCCCCATCCCTAATCCGAGGCCTCTGTGCACGCAAGGGTCATTGCCCCAAATGTCACCGACATTTGTCCTTAAGGCGGCATCAGAGAATGGTTTTATTTTCAGGCTTCCTGCATCACATGCCCACCCCACCTTGCCCGACTCGGTGCAACGCTGCGCTTACTCCGCCAGGTGGCGTATCAACTCAAGAGCGCACATGGGGAATTGTCCGTAATCTGATTAATTTAACCTTGAAAGAAAATGCATTTTTTTACAAATAAGGAAATACATAATTGTATTATTCAAATAGCATTAAATCTTGATAACTAGTTGAAATCCTGACCAGGGTCATTCGTGTAATCTCCAAATTAGCACATCAGCACGCAAGCATGCCCGATGTTGAATACGTTACTTGGTGAACCTTGGCATCTCTTAACTACAAACTCATTTGGCAGTTCACCAGGCATCGATTCAATGCCCGACTGCCCACGTCAAAACCAGGATTCCGCTTGTACAGAATACTATCCAAATATAATCACAGAGGGCCGTGGGTATATACGGAGACGTCTGCTCATTTGACAAGTTCAACTTTCGCTATTAGTTTATGCTCGCCAACGTTAGCGGGAAGTGTAACGCGGCGAGTTGAGAGCCGTCTACCCTACCGTGGTAAATCCAATGTGTTCCGTGGAGCAGTGGTGGTGTGTGTGTGCACACAGGTCAGATAATAAATGGACACGGGACACACAGACGCACACAAACCAGGTAAGCGCTATCAGCAGCCGTACCGGTTTCACTGGTTATAGCTTTTTTGAGGATTTGGGGGGTGGGGGGAGGGAAGGGTGCAAGAGGGGACAAAGAGGGGTAGCAGAAGTGAGAGGGGATAGCAAGAGGTGGCGGATGGCGAGGGGAGAGCGTTAGCAGAGGTCAAGAGAGCAGAGTGAAACAGGTAAGCAGGAGATCAGAGGTAGGATGAACAGCTGAGAGAGGCGCGCAAGTGCTGTGGTGAGCAGTGTATGGCAGAGTTGTATGTGCAGTGGGTAGGCAATGTTTGCAGACTTAATTTGGAGCTTACGTGACTGCAGGAATTATTCTTTGGTTCTTTTGGTAAAGTCACGTATAAAGATAAAATTTAATTTATTACTTTATCTGTATACGTGACTTTACCGAAAGAACCAAATATTGTTTGCAGAGTTGAACGTCGGTGTAAAGTTGAAAGGTGATGCGTAGGGTTAGTGTGGTGTTTAAAGCAATGGATGAGTTTTGCATCGAGGGACCAGAATCTACAATGACTGTGCGCAGTGTTTGCTGATGGCAAGGCGTGTGCAATTGAATGGCAATGCAAAGTGTGTATGTATTATCCACAGGTGATCGTGTGTCGTGGTTGAAGCATGTCAAGTGATGTGCATCGACTGCTGGTAACACATGGAGAGAATGTTGCGTGGTGTAATGCTTACGGTAATATGGTGCTGCGGAAATTGTTTGGGCATGTCAACTGTTGTTGAATATAGATGTTGTAGGTGACCAATAATGTACACATAGCTATGTACGTAACGGGTATTTTTAAAAAAAGTGGATGAAGCGATGGACAGTGGTCAGACTGGTGGAGTTTAAAGACCCTGATGCGGTGCGCAAGCATTGGGGCGAGAGTTGGGGCGACATCATTAATATGAACATGGCTGGAAATGTAATAGATTGAATGGTTGGCATTTGTAAATGTATTTAGTGGAGAGCGAATGTTTTGTAGAGACAGTAGAGAAGCAAAGCAAGAGAAGAAAAATAAATTTGGAATTAGGCAGAAGTATTTTTTTTGGTTTTTTTCCTTTTTTCTCTTCCAAAGTTTAAGGGGAAATTTGCTTGAAACAATACGCTCACTGCATTTTGCAGGGCTCCATTTTTTCCAAGTGCGCATTCGTGTTAAAATTGCACCCAGGTTCAATTTAACCATGTCTGCGCAGATCTCAAATTGTACATTGGCCCGTACACAAAGCCAAATTGTGGTAAAATGTCACTATTAAGCAAATAGGGCGTGCATGATTTAAAACTATTTTAAAGTACAATCCAATTCAGATTTTTGTTTTACTGCACACTCCTTGTGATGGATTCAAATAGTTTTGGGTTGGCATATGTACAATTGTAGCCAATTTGATACCAAGGTGCAAATTAAATCACGATAGTATCCTTTACAGTGATAGAATGCCGAGTTCATGATTGCATTCATTTCTAAAAATGGGATTTTTAAAAATTCAAAATCTGGTCAAGTCCTGTTGTAATTGTATGCAGATTAAACGTTAAACGTCTCTGCAGTGCGCTTAAGGGTTTGGTTGACAAACCAGCGTTCCTTAACACCTCGATTGTTCACAGTTTGAGTGTCAAATCTGGCCAATTGCGTGGGGTTAAGACAAATCAATTGAAGCACCTTCACATTTTTTTCAGTTGAAAGGGCCATCACAAATCCGTAATACATTTCCGCATTTTTGAAAAGATCCACACCTTTCTTGTAAAAAAAAAAAAACCCCAGTTATTTTCTTCATATGCATCTTATGTACATGTGAAATACTTTACAATTGGCAAGATGTGAAGAAAATAAATAAAAACATATTTACACAAGGTGTGAGCAAGACTGGCTGGCAGTAACCTGGTCGACTTGGTGTCACCAGTACACGCAAGCTGCCGATGCTTTTCAAAGCATTTAAATGACAGTTTGCAAATGCAGACCTCTGGTCATGGATGTGGCAATTTCTCTCCCCCCCCGTCATGTTCCAATCTTAAATTTAATTTCACTTTTAAAAAATGTTGCCGCTCACATCCACGACCGTTTAAAACAGCTGCTTCACATTGACTTAAAAAGCCTGCCAACTTTTTATCTTCCACAAAAATAGATTTCAAAATTAAAATATACAATATCAATATTTTTCTCTGCTCCTGTCTGTACACATGTGCGCACACTACATACACCCCCCCCTATTAAACTAAACGTCATACCGTACACTAAAAAAACAAGTCGTCCAATAAAGGCTCAGTCATCAACACCAGTCAAAGTCATCGTCAAATACGTGCCTTTAAGAGTTCCATTCTAACTGCACGAAAGCCTTCCAAAGCCCATGCGAACATCCCGTTTCGATTATAAATGCATTAACAGACTTTGAAACCCATTGTTTGCCTCAAGCTAATGTAATCTCAGAAAACAATCGTCATATCAAAAGCTCAAGGCAATCAAGTGGGCCCCAAATTTTTAAATGCATTCACGTCCACACGATCTTCCGGACAATCAAGGTAATAAGTAAACTATAAACAGAACAACAAAAGCACCGCCAGACAGAATTTTCAAGTACAAGCCAACACCGATTCCTGGCAAACGCCAACTTAAGGATAGTAGTGGCTTGTACCAACCACTGGCAAGCAATGTTTCAGGTTTGTTAATAGGTTGAGGCACCAGCTGGCGTGCCACCATATCCATCATCCCACTTGACCTGGGCTCTTTAAAGACGTTTCAGTCAGGATATTTGTGATAAAGTTGAGCACGTGAAGGTTTCATTTTGATGCCAACTCTTCAGGAAAAAAAGGTCCCACTGGTGATTCCAAGCCGATCCATTTTTCCTCCCCCCCCAACCACCCCCCATTCATCTTCAGTCTTCTATTCAAATAAACAAGTCTTCCGCGTCAAATGCTGTTGTTACTGCTTGTGTAAAACGGACGGCGTGTTTATGTACAGAGATGACGTTTTCGCGATATTTTGCGTGGGATCAAAAAAACTGGTTCTCACTTGGTTGCTGCTTTTCAGCCTTTAAAAGTTGCTGTTTTGCAATTTAGCCAAAAATTGTACAGATAAATTTGGATGAAAACGGACCACCAGATTTGGTATGTTGAAGCTGTGACCGCACAGGGCAGCTTGGGCAAGTGCTTGTCATCAAATGGGGAGCGTTAAGATTAGCCGAAGACTCTTTGGCACACAAACACTTCCTAACACATATGCACACACAACAGTGCTTTGCAGTTACCACACACACGCACACACCAAGCAAAGCCAATAACGTGCACACAAAGATGCCCCCAACTCAGCCCCAGTGCAGACAGTGAGCACCTGTTAAGGCTGGGGACGGCACATAAGAGAGTGGTGTGGCCAGCACCACCAACGCCCTTTTTTGCCATCCTGGTACTGATGTGCATACAACACCACACCAGGTACTTAATTTAGGTCGAGTTGACCTAGGGGAGGACCCAAACCAGATTCAGATATCACCATGGCCAGTAACTGAATCTGGGTCATTTTGGGTATTGCAGTGCATCAAAGCCCAGACCACCACTCCCCATTACATCCCCGTACAAGTCATAAAAACACTGGCAGTCAACATGTCAGTGCCAAGTGCACTTTTTGCCATAGCTGTACACACAGTACAGGCCAAGGCCAGTTGCCCGACTGCAGATTTTAAAAAATGTATTTAAAGAAATGTTATTACTCGTGCCGATTTCATCAGAACTTAAAACATTGCCACAGACAGAATCACATTGTGATTGGCAACTGGTCGACCTTGTTTAGCGACAACTTAGATCAAATTTCGCAAGGGATTAAACAAGATTCCAACGCAAAACATCTCCAACTCTTATGACATTTCACCCCCCCCCACCCCCACCCTGCCTTATAATATAAAAGGCCCCAACTTTTTCACTTCACAAGCAAGCACACGGTGTTGTGCACACCCCCCTCCGCGCCTTAAAAAGGCCATCATCTTGCCTGTCTACAGTGATCAAACATCTTCTGAACGATTAAGAGTCCATTTAAAATCTAGTCACCACACCGGGATGCCCACACATTCCTTCAGAAGGCAGAAGGATCGAGTTGCCTGAAACCCCTTTTTGCACGCCTACACATGTTGTCGTCTGTCCCAAGTCCAAAATAAATTGAGCAAAGACCATTAACGGCACGCGTCTCGTTCCGTTTGGTCGGTCGCGGTCTCTGCTCTTCACGTCTCCTCCTCCTTCCTACGCCTGCACTTTGAGCAACATCTTCAGCTGCGACGTCATTTCGCTGTAGTACGTGGCGGCGTGCGGCGGCGGCGGCAAATATGCGGCAAAACTGTTTGCCGGAAAGCGCGCGCCCAGCGCGCAAGCAATCACCGCCGTGGCTGCCGCAGTAGCCGTCGCAGCGCTCTGGGACTTGGCCCCGGCATCCTCGAAACATTTCGCAGGAGAGCTCTTTGGCGCTGGATCCTCGGCAGCGTCGCCTTCGCCGCCGCCGCTCCCCTTGCGACTGCCACCAGCGGTGCTGGAGACCCAGTGCACGGGCGGCGGTGGCAGCACGCTCGGAGACGGTGGCTCGCTAAATTTGGCTCCGGCGTAAGCAGGCCATTCGCCACCTTCGCGAGGCGAGCGGGAGAGCGGAGAGCCGGCCTGCCGGGGAGACGACGCTTGGCAGAAACCGTTTGTCGTCGATGGAGGGGAGCGGCGGGGGTCGAGGGAGCGAGGGGAGTGCATGGCTTGGGGCGAGCGAGAGGAAGGGGAGTGCACTGTTTGGGGGGAGCGGGAGGGAGGGGAGTGGACGGTTTGTGGGGAGCGGGAGGGAGGGGAGCGGATGGTTTGGGGGGAGCGGGAGGGAGGGGAGCGGACGGTTTGAGGGGAGCGGGAGGGCGGGGACTGCGAGGCAGGGCTCGGGGTGGAGCTCAGGTAGGGCGAGCGACGCGAGGGAATGGAGACGGGAGAAGAGGTGCTGGTGGAGAATTGCACGATAGCCTGCGCACGCACACACACACACCTGGATTAAATCGGCTGCAATGCCATTGCACCAACATCATCAACCGGATGCCATGCCGAACTTTTTACTTTGAATAGTAAAGTATGACGAGCTTCAGATGACGAAGTTTGATGTCAAGTAAAACTACTAGAACCTGTGTTGGGACAGTAGAATGTATTTATTTTACCTTTCTCAGCAGGCTCTTGCTTTGCCGTTTGCCAAGGGACCAAATTAAAAATGACAGGAGCTTTCAATTCAATAGTTATTTCTACAGATTACTAAGACGGCCATATTCTATTATTCTGTAGGTTGCGGTTGTGTTGTATAGCATTGTTTGCAGACTCCACCAAGTGTTTGCATGGTGTGTATTTAAAGGTCTTATCAACAGCATACGTTGCCCTTGTCACCATGTTAAAGGGAGACAAAAGAACACCCTCAAAAATACCAAACTATTGCTGGAAACTTGGCAACGATTAGTAAGTTCTCGTGGCTGTAGCGTATTGGACAGCACGATGTCTAATGTTCCACTCCATATGCTGGGAGATTATTCAGCACGTACGATGAAGAGAGTTGCAATTACTGGCCAAACGTCACTCAGATTGTAAATGTTGTAGCTTTACTCTACAACACACTGGTGTGGTACGAGTAACGCACTGGCATGTTCTGTTTACGTGACAAACCTCAACTAATTTGCGGTCAGGTGATGGCAGGTTTAAACGACACGTTAATATATTTAGGCAATCCAACCCAAAAAACGGGTACTATGGATTCGTCTTTTCATAAGGCGCAGCACACCCCAAAAAAGGGCTTCACATCACAGCGGCGCACAGTAAAATACATCCAAATGCAACATCTCCACATTAATTCTAGATTTGAAGCTTTCGTGACTGCAAGGATTCATACTTAGTTCTTTCGGTAAAGTCACGTAGGTAAAAAATGAAATTAAAATTAATAAAAATAAGATGTATTATTTTTATTAATTAAAAATAATAAAAATTAAAATTAATAAAAATAAGATTTATTATTTTTATTTTATTTTTTTCATTTTTTACCTACCTGACTTTACCGAAAGAACTAAGAGTATATCTCCACGTTACCCAACAATCTGATAAACACAGCAAATGAGCGCCACCATATCCTGGACCCCACCGCAGCATCACTGAAATTTCCCTAATCACCTGCGCAGCAGTGCCATGTTTGGCGTTCCCCGGGCGCCGTAGCCCGTCGCCCCGCCCGCCCGGCGGATGTTGCTGTTGGCCGCCACGACGTGGCTGGCTGCGGGGCTGTCCGTGGCGTGGGGGTGTAGCCCCCGTGGCGACCTCTGGAGGCTCGAACCGTGTCATCCTAACACGGGGGGGGGAGGGAAGAGGGCACAAAAGCGAGGGGTGAGAGGACATGGTTAGGGTATGGTGGTAACAACTGTGCTCATGACAAACAATTTTATGAGAATAGGTTTTTTTTCTGGCAACAAACAGATGTTAAATCACCAAACTGAAATCTTTTACAAGGAATCATGTCTGCATTAACCACAATACTTGTGGTCAGAATGCTGACAAAAAACTCTGATAATATATGCATTGTCTTTGAAACCGATTGGTCCACACCAGAGACGACTTTCTTTTGAGCCTAGTCTCAAAACGGTGTTAGACCAGAGGACGCCAAAAGGCATACAGTAACAAAGTGAGAATAGGAAAACCTTCTCATATTTTGCTACTGGCAAAGGAGGTCCCATAATGTAACAATTTTCATTTTTCCAGTTCAGGCCCACCGAGTTTATGGAGCTCCTTTTCACAAGCGCCCTGGCCACAAATGATAGCTCAACAAAGTGGCTTATCGTGTCGAAATGTATAGTAGCCGAATACTCTTAAACGCATGTTTCTAAAACGGGAGCCGGAGAGAAAATAAAATCCAAGCCATTAAAAGGGAGACCATTAAACGACCTACAACAACATACCAGACAAGGGAGTTAACATCGCCAGATGGTTCCCCCCCACTCCCCGCTCCATTCGCACCCAATCCCTCACCAAACCTCAGGAGCTAAACATTTGAACAGTGTTTGGAAATGGTGACCAGTATATGCAAAGGTCGCAGGCTGCTACGGGGCGACAACATCGGCAGCACGAGGCACTTCCGCAAATTCAGTGGTCGTGTTTTATTGTGCCCACGCCAATGCGCTTCTGCATTCAACGACTTGGACCAGCGTTAAGTATGGCCAATTGCTACCTGCCCCCCTCCCCTCCGAACTCCAACCAACTCGAAGGGCATTTTAATCTGGTTAAAAAAGAATAATTGAATGTGCTATTAAGTAAGAACCATCGCCAAAAACGTCACCTATTCGTTTCCTAAGGTAGTGTTAACAAATTTAGAATACGATTAGATATTTGGTTGTTTTTCGCCCCGATATCCATTTGCGTCATCAAATGCGCTTGTTTTTTTATGTTATTTAATTTGTCACGCGCATGGGTAAATCAACTTTTTCTCCGCAGTTATTATTCAGTTAAAAACATAAACTTTAATCTAAAACTTAAACCTAAAACTTGATTGAGTATTCTTACTTCATCGATTCTGTCCACAATCGATCACTGTCCGGTGGCAAAGTGGAAATGAAAAACAATGCATCAACTAAAAGGTGAAGTTTATTTATAAAAATTTTTAAGTCGATTAAGTAAAGGTCAAGTAGCTCAGGGGGAACGGTACTGACAAGCTTATTTATAGATTAACTTTTTTTAGTCAAACGCTTGGGGGGGAGGGTTGTGTTTTTAGTTTCGGCAATGTCAACATTCCGTGACGTCACAAAGCGTGGTCTGATCTCACCACGTGACTCCTCCCCCACGGCCCAACCGCCCCCCTAGACAAAATGTCGCCACGCCCTCACGGCGCATGCGCAGAAGTTGCCACATCCGGGACAGCGCGGGGCTGCGAAATGGCGGACGCAGCCCCCCCCCCGCCTCCCGCCCCACTGCGCATGCGCACAGCAAGCCACAATTGGGGGCTTATTTACAATTGGGAGGAATACAAACCCTATGAGCTATAAAGCTCTTTTGGTCATAGATGTGGGGGGGGGGGGGGCATGTCAGAAACGATACAATACAAACCAATAGAAATGCAAAGTATAGGAAAGGTAAACAAGTCGTTTAAAAAGATATTTAAATAAAAAAAATTTTTGTATCTAACCAGGTACGGCCCACTGAGCTATTGACTTATTATTCAGAAGCAACCTGGCCACAAATGATAGCTAAACGAAGTGGCTTATCACGTGGAAATGTATAGCAGCAAAATTATCTAAACGCGTGTTTTTAATATGCTATACCCGTACCACGTTCAATTACGGACACCAATAAAAATACATTTAACCAGTGGGAAGCCTACATCATAAAAAAACACAATTTTCTACAGCACTTTCGTCCAATAAGTCTAACTTGTCAGACAAGACCGAATTTTAATTGGCAAACGTTCATTTTGGGATAACATTATTGAAAGAGATCAAAACAGATTGAGAAATTCTCCAGTGACCATCACTTTTAAGATCTAAGCAAATCCATGCCTGGCAAAACAATGCAGCTAAATCCATGGCATACAATAACACATTACCCATGGTGAATCTTGATACATGTACCCCCTTTTGTAAATCCATTGCTAATGGGGGGGGTTGCCTGACCATACTTCACCACTCTGGTCAGTGCTGGAGTTTGTTAAGGCCGTTTTTCCCTGTTACATTTTCATCATCACATCCTGACAATCTTTACAAAAAACACTTAAGTCGAAACTACGTACCCCCAACCAACCATTCGTGCCTAGATAGTCATAACCACCACATACCGGTTTCTGTAGTGTTGTGAAATGCGGTTTCAGTCGAAACATACAATACCACATTGTTATCGCAACGACTCAGAAACCCTATGACTCAAGAGAGAACCATATACGCACACCCACATACAATGACCCATGTCCATATTTGGGATCCATACCTACATAGGGTGACAATACAATCGACTTGAGACCCACAGAACACCTATTATAATACAAGTAGAAACGTCTACACGCAATGCTAATTTAAATCAACATCGCAACACAAGCGGTGTTTTTTACAACCGTGCTTTTAACAACAATGCCATGTCAGAAGATTTCGTTGGGTCACTGACTCATGATCATAGCTTCCCTCTTGCATGGTGGGGAATTCCCAGCCACTATCCTGGTAATGCCCTGTGTAGACTCAACGTGTCCTTATACCACATACGTACTAGTCAATATTAACGTCTATTTCGTCACTAGGCAATCTACTTTATAAGCACTGCAATAGCTTGCACCTATTAAGCTAGTGGGGCAGTTGTAAGCACTTGAAGATAGTTAATATCACCAAGTTGGCATCGCACAATAACTTGTTAGTGCTAAACAGCATTAGGCAAGTACTTCATGTACTAGACGTATTACCTTCAAAACACATGTTAATACTAAGAGTAGGTTTTCCCCTTGTTTCTGGCAAACAAAACGTGCGTCAAGATGTTAAAATACCGAACCGAAACCTTTCGCAAGGAATCATGTCTGCATTAACTACATATACTTGTGGTGAAAATACAAACGAAAAACCACATGCTCCCACAGGATATGCATCGTCTTTGAAACGGATTGGTCCACACCAGAGACAGCTTTCTTTAGAGCCTAGTCTCAAACAATGTTAGACCAGAGGACTCCACAAGGCAAACAGCACCAAGACAATCCACCATGAGGACGACGAGAGCTCAAGGTGAGCAGTTATTTATATTTCATTTTTTTCAAGTTTCATTTATTAGGTATAGCCCTGTGAGCCATTCGGCTCTTGAATCGGGTGCAACCGCAACAACCAAAAACATGAACAAGAAAACATCTTAAAGTGACTGAGTGCAAACAGAAAATCCAAGAAAAGACAGCAAAATATTGCAGAAAAAACACCGTACACCAACACTGTGTGCAAAAATCCCAGTGGGATGCAAGTCAAACAACAACAACAACCACAAGACAACTTAGATTAAGGCCATCAGTCTAACTCTGTACGACAACAAACATGGCCAAACCAAAAAACGTTTCGAAAATCACCATTATTTGAACACTATACTCTTTGCACTTATATAAGTTCACAACTTTGTCTATTTGTGATTAACGCTGCACTTTTCGTAGTTTCCATGCAGGGGGCGGTGCAAACCTACGCGCCCACTGCATTAACGTTGGAGGCGCAGGGACAGGCGTTCCATCACGTTGTAATCGATCAGCAAGACGGCGGTCTTCTCGCATGGCCAGCAGCTGTATGTCGCCTTATCGATCCCCGCAATCCCAAACAGGTGAAAGTCCGCATCGAACCGAACACCCACAGCAAGGCCATCTACTTAACGACGAGAGAAAATCTGCTTAGTTCTTTTGGTCAAGTCACGTAGAAGGGAAATAATAAAATACCAAAATTAAAACATAATAAAATTTATATATAATTTTAAAATAAAATAAAAATAAAACATAATAAATTAAATATTTTATTTCATTTACTAAATATTTTATTTAATGTTTTAATAATAAAATAATAATAAACCATAAGACATTTTTATTTTTTATTTTATCATTTCCCTTCTACGTGACTTTACCGAAATAACCAAGAAGATGAATCCCTGCAGTCACGAAAGCTTTAAATCGAGACGAGAGAAAATTCACACGAAATGTCGTCTTCAAGATATAAATGAAAGCTTTCAATTAAGAAATCAAATTATCCAATTCAAAACATCACACAAATCAATGATGTTTCATTTTAAAACAAGTTAAGCTAGTCAACAGCGCTCAATAGTATTGTAGAGTTAAAATTCTGCTAAGGCCAGCCCATCATCTCTTGGGGGTTAAATTAAGTACCACTTAGTAGGGAAGTCAACACGTGGCTGACTTGATTACTACGTGAGGTCAAGTTATTAATAGCGGAAACGCATTTCATTGGGCTGGTCAATAACTATACGTATTTAGTTAGTACCACCAGCATTGACGAATTAGTACCAATTAATTATTATCGATGCCGTATATGTAATGGGGCTGGTTTGTGCAAATATCATTTGTGTATCGATTGAGTGCCGTACGTCGGTGCTAATTGAAGAAAATAATCTCAAACCATTATTTTTAGATTAAAAACGTGGAAACCTTTAAAAAAAACACTTTAAAACCACCTACACTGGAAAGGGATAAAATTGTTTCCCATAAAGTAGATTACAATTTATATACAACTCGAATCTTTCACAGATTCTGTTCCGGACCAGGATGGTGAAGTATGTTTTAAAAAACACATCAACATCGAGTGTGTTGAGGTTTCTTTCATCAAGTTGGGGGGGGGGGGGGGGGTTGCCAAAAGGATTTGTACAAATGTGTTGTTGTCTATTAGCTGTAAAAGGGGAAAATCAGTTAAATAATAAGAGTTTACACTACACAGGCAGTACAAAGTCCTGTGTTACCCCCCCCCCCCCCGTGTTAAACATTAAACAAGTCCTACGTTTGACCAAAAGAACAACACTAAAACTTTTGGACTACAAACATTAATACAATTACAAGTTCTTTCGGCGCCAAATGCAACACAATGTAAGCCTTTACACTACGAGACCTCCTTTACCAGTGGCAAAATATAGTGATGATATGCACTGTGCATATCATTATCAGAGTTGTTTCTTTGTCTGCTTGTGTCGTGGTTATTGCAAACATGATCCCTTGTATAAAGGTGTCAGTTTTTGTACCAGTTGTAAGGGTAAAAACCTACTACAATGTAAGCCATCAAGTAACCCTGTCAATAGGGTTTAAGGGTCTTGGTACATCATTTAAACCTTTTAATTCAAACATTAAATTTGCATTTTTTTGTTCTTTGCCGTGGTACTTTAAAAGCGACTGGATCTACAAGCTGAACGTTTACGTGATTAAAAGTCGCTTGTCAAAACCCATAAAAATAACATATTGATGTAGGGTAGAGACAACATGTTTGCTTATTGCTGGATATGTAGGTCAACCAAGCTGACATTTTTACTTTGTAGATGATAAAGTTACTCGCACAGGAATTAGTCAAAACGTTAGATTTTAAAAAAATTGGTGTCTTAAAATGCAAGTTAGTGTAATTCAATAACTACGTAAACAATTAACGACTATAAAAATAGCAACGCTCATCGATGGCTGCGCTTGTTTTGTTTACACCGTCAATTTAATTTTTAAAAAGTCCAACAATGTTCGCTTTACTCCTACTAATAAGTAGCAACTATAAGTGTATTTAATTTTGCGTTAATTCCCGTATAGCATCGACATACGCCCCCGACTACACAACACGGGCGCCAAAAGCAGTTCGCAACAAAGACTCCAGCTTCTCAAAAACAATTTAAACCTTCACACGCCGACGTATTTAGCAGTAGGCGACAGCTTAAAACATTTTAAATAACTGCGAGGCAATCGCAATCCTCAACATCGGGTCAAGAACGACAACAAGCGGAGCGCCGAAGCAGGATAAACAAAGACACAATGGCGACCCAACAACAACCATCAAGACGTCGACGGATTATCAAAACAAAAAATAATAAAAACCTCTCCTCACAACTCACCTCCTTCTCGCCCTTGAAACCTTGTCAAGCCGACGGGACTTCGCAAGCTACACACAAACGCCTACTAAAACACGACAACGACGACTTAAGATTGCGTTGACGAGTCCACGACTACTTTTGCCGAGGCGACCACCGCGGCCACCTCACGACGACTGCGCCGAAGAGGCGCGCGACGGCGTCTTTTATAGAATCCACCGCGTTTTTTTTCTGACAGTGGCATCTTCCGGAAGACGATGACCGCATAGGTTAACGGAGACCCTCCCCCTCTGCCCCGGGACTTCTACCTCATCCGGAAGATTCTACCTCTTCCAGAAGACGCTACCGCCACTGAGTGTTTTTTTTACCGGTAGAGTCTTCCGGAAGACAATGACCGCATAGGTTAACGGAGACCCTCCCCCTCTGCTCCGGGACTTCTACCTCTTCCGGAAGACGCCACCGCCACTGAGTGTTTTTTTAACGGTAGAGTCTTCCGGAAGACGATGACCGCATAGGTTAACGGAGCCCTTCCCCCCTCCCCTCTGCCCCGGGACTTCTACCTCGTCCGGAAGATTCTACCTCTTCCGGAAGATGCTACCGCCACTGAGTGTTTTTTTTAACGGTAGAGTCTTCCGGAAGACGATGACCGCATAGGTTAACGGAGCCCCCTTCCCCCCTCCCCCTCTGCTCCGGGACTTCTACCTCATCCGGAAGATTCTACTTCTTCCGGAAGCCGCTACCGCCACTGAGTGTTTTTTTTTACGGTAGAGTCTTCCGGAAGACGATGACCGCATAGGTTAACGGAGCCCCCCTCCCCCTCTGCCCGGGGACTTCTACCTCATCCGGAAGATTCTACCTCTTCCAGAAGACGCCACCGCCACTGAGTGTACGGTAGAGTCTTCCGGAAGACGATGACCGTGTAAGTGAATGGAGCCCCATCTCCCGCCGTGGCTTCTACCTCTTCCAGAAGATGCTTCCGTTTTTTTGCTCCCCCCCCCACCCCCTGAGGTCGAGCCCCGCCTTCGCACGTACGCCTCATTTGCATAACTGGAGCGCGAATTCCGTCAGGGCGATTGTGATTGGTTGCCGAGAAAGATGGGGGGAGGGGGGGTGTTGTGAACCGCGGGTTGAGATGCGAATTGTCGCTCGTGATTGGTTGTTGCTAACAAAAAAAAATGGAATTAACCAATCAGAGAGCTCCGCGCGCTGTCGTCAGGCGAAGGAGGACGAAGGGGGGTTGGCGTCGCGCGTGCTGATTGGCTAATCCGCTGGTCACGCGTCGAGGCTTGAGCTGCATATTGTTATGTCCGGCACAGTGAAGGCTCTCCCTTAAAAGACAAACTAAACTCATCTCGATGTGCAATGTTTTTAAACGTTTGTTTTAAATTAAAGTCGTAATGCAGGAGAGCTTGAGACTTTGCACATTTAGGGTAGGTTGATATTTTTAATGAAGTAATGCATTGACACTCTTACTATAGCAGGGAAACTGAGTGTACAATTTGCATTAATACGCTCTGCATGAACTTAAAACTGTGCAAAGCTGCAATTTCGTTAAGTTCAACATTCGGCTTTAACTCTTAAATTGTAATTCTACGTGTACATTCCACGGATATTTTCCCCCAGACTGGCAACGAACCACGTTGCATAATGACGTGCAAACGCAGAGTTATCCTCTTTATAGGTCCTTTTATATTTTTGCAACAATTCTAATTTAGCGAAATACAAAATAAAATGTTTGGTCAATCCGTACAAATATGGGCACATAATCGTCTTAAGCGTTGCAAATGGTCTCGAAAGGATCTTTGTTTTTTACTTGCACATTGTTAAAAACCACGTTTAAATCTTTACCATGCAAATGCATCAAATGGTCAATAAAAGCTAATACAACGTAGTTTATTGCTGTCTTTAAACATAAAAGATGTTTAAAAGGCTCAATGAGCCTTCAATTGCCAAAGACCTTGCGGGGGCGGGGGTCACGCGCACAGCCGCCAGCTGGTTGTAAACATCACGTGACGGCGCGCGACTGACCAATGGGCGGCGCGGGATCCTCTGTTGCTACCCGGGCGAAGAAGTCTTCCCCCTGCAAAGACGAACTGCGGGGGCGCAACTGTCATCCGATTGGCTGCAAGGAAAAATATTGGCTCCGCCCCCTGCCCCCCCCACCCACAATTTGCACCAATCGGATTCGAGTAGCTGTGATCGCCCCGCCCCTCCCCCCATGTCCATCAGAACCAAAATATTTATTGTTCCAGAGGATTCCGATGAGCTACGAAACTCTTTTGCCACATATGTGCAGAACCTTACAGCAACAAACGACATAAAAAAAATAGCATATGAGTGCAAAAAATATGGGAAAGGTAAACAAATCCCTGGGAAAAAAATATATACGGTCCAAATAAAACAAAAAAATGTTTCTTACCAAGTATAGCCCACAAAGCTATTAACGTATTTATCAGTAGCGACCTGGCCACAAATGCTAGCTCAACACAGTGGCGTATGTGTACATTTATAGCAGCCAAATATTCTCTTTTGTTTATGGAGGGGGGGGGGGATTTTTTGATGATATAAATCCTTGCTAACCCATTCAACTGGGACGATACGAACACGAAAACAAACAAACTCCAACGTAATATGCTCACATTACGCCACGAAATGCATAAAAGACATCTTTTTGTGTCTTAATTTTACCTCTCGTCTCCATTTGCAACAACTCTCAAATGCTAAATTCCACCAAATCGTCCCCCGCTCCATTGCTAATCTCACCAAAACGCCCTCGACCTTCTGCCTAGGTTTTATCCATCAGTGGATTGATCATGGCTAAACAATATACATCCAAGAATGGATGGAGATATGAGTTCCCGTCATGGGAATGTGGAATTCCCTCCCCATTGGCTCCTTGAGAGGCCTAAATACAAAACAATCATCGTGCTGTACATGAAACGTACACCTAGCAAACTCAACTCACTTAATCTTAAATAAGAACTGACATAAATATATAATAGTCCTCGTTTAGGGCCATAAACCTTCATGTTCTTTGGCCCTTCATAAGCTATTCAGTCCGGGTCATTGCCCGAAACGTCATTGATTATATATTTGTTGATTTTAAAGCCACAGTTTTAGTCGCACACCACTTGCCAAAGCATCATCATCACCACCACAAATTGCATCTAAAAACCCTCGGGCAGTGATTGAAGTTGGTTCAAAATGACGAATTAAAGAAAATAATAAAGTGGTGTAGAGTTCCGTTTTGGAAAACCGAATTTGACCATCAAAAAGCAACATACGAATTGTACCTTAAGATACGATGGCATAATTTTTTAGTTTTTTCGGTAAAGTCATTTGACTTTACCGAAAAAACCAAAGAGTATGAATCCTTGCAGTCACGAAAACTTCAAATCTAGAATTGATACGATGGCATTGTCAGAATTATAATAATAAACACTGACAAAAAAATGTTGGGTAAAGTGTGGAAACAAATCTATTTACTTTGTGTACTTTAGAGTATACCGTGAATATAGAATATTCATATTATTGGTTCTTTCGGTAAAGTCACGTAGAAGGGAAATAATAAAATAATAAAACTATAAGAACCAAGAATATGAATCCCTGCAGTCACGAAAGCTTTAAATCAAAGTAGCTGCTTAAGAATTCTCGCTCTGTTGTAAAAAAAGGTTAACATTCAAAATAAGTATCAAATGCAAAAGGAAATCGCACTTGCCGATGGCAAAACGCTACGTGCAAAGTGCTAATATAGCACAGGGTACGAATTACGAAACGGGAAAGTATTACGACACTAGATTTGAAGTTTTAGTGACTGCCAGGATCCATACTCTTTGTTTTTGTCGGTTAAGTCACGTAGGTAAAAAATATAAAATAAATAAAAATGAAAACAAATCAAATGTAATTTTTTTCATGAAATTGTATTTGTTTTCATTTAAATAAAAATGAAAAAATTTTTTTAAATAAGAACTGACACCAATATATAAATTGTATTTGTTTTCATTTAAATACAAATGAAAAAAAATACAATTTTATTAGTTTTCATTTTAACTTATTTTATATTTTAACCGAAAAAACCCAAAGAGTATTACGACACTGTTAAAGGTAAGTTTTTTTTAAAGAAAATCTCATATTCTTGTGGAAATTCCCCAGCGAGGCGTGTGTACGTGTGCATGAGACTTTGCTATATTTAACCACGGGGGCTTTTGTGTGACGTGGCAGTTATAAAGACAAAGGTCCCCCCTGTAGTCTGGAACAGGCTGTTGTTTGGGGGGAGGGGCAAGTGCTGTGAGGGAGCATCTGGGTCAGAATCAGAATATTGATTGGTACTGGAGGAATCCGATGAGCTCTAAAACTCATTTTCACAGATGTCTAGTCGAGTGGCCTTTTGTGTGACGTGGAAGTTACAAAGACAAATGTCCCCCCTGTAGTCTGGAACAGGCTGTTGTTTGGGGGGAGGGGCAAGTGCTGTGAGGGACCATCAGGGTCAGAATCTGAATATTGATTGATACTGGAGGAATCCGATGAGCTCTAAAACTCTTTTTCACAGATGTCTAGTCGAGTGGCCTTTTGTGTGACGTGGAAGTTACAAAGACAAATGTCCCCCCTGTAGTCTAGAACAGGCTGTTGTTTGGGGGGAGGGGCAAGTGCTGTGAGTGACCATCAGGGTCAGAATCTGAATATTGATTGATACTGGAAGAAATCAATAAGCTCTAAAGCTCTTTTTCACATATGTCTAGTCGGCTTGTGATGGCCGGCAAAGGCGCACGAGGGGGTGGGTGGCCAGCACCACCCCCGGCCGCCTTTGTCTCCCCACTGATGATGTTTACCCACCGAGTCGACCTAGAGGAGGCCCATGACCGGTTTAGATTCATCGCCGTGAGTGGGAATCGAATTCAGGTCACCGGGTTCGTAGCGCAGTGCGCTAACCAGACACAGACAAACACTCCCCATCTTTAATCAATTCATTGCTCCATAAGCAACCTCCCCACCACAACGTACGAGTAAATGGGGGTCATTTGACCATACTTCACCACGAAAATCAGTTAATGGTTGGGAGCATAGACGTGTGGGGCCATATTCTTAGGTTTTTTCGGTAAAGTCACGTAGGTAAAAATTTAAATTAATAAAAGTAAAATAAAAATAAAATAAAAAAAACGTTTCGGAGGCAAC